TTTAACACTGCTCAACATGGTTATATTTTATACTGCAGCAAATGTTAATTATCTAGATAGTAATTTATTTGCATTAATAAATATAGTGTTAATGAAGGGAGTTGTAAGCTTTGACATGTTAGCCTTAGGTATACGTTGCTAAATCTCCAGTGTAATTTGACTGAATAATGACATAGTAGCAGGTGTATGCAATCTGTGCTGCTATGAGCAAAGCTATGTATGAAGTTTTTTAACACTCTGTAACAACAACATGTGGGTGTCACAGAAATATCCAAAGGGAAACTTTTAATCCTACCACAAAGAATACAATAATATTAGGATACAAATAAGACAAGGGTCTATAATATGCTGTTTGGCCTGTCACAGCCGGATCTGTTTCTGGTCCCCATAAAGTGCTTTTTTGGGCCTCCAAGAGACCCTAATTTGCATAGACATTTTGGTGGGGGAGTGTACATTTAATAATACATACCAGAAATGTCTGAGAAGGTGACAGTCATGCGATAAACTACATAGGTGTGGGATATATTTATTTAATCATTCACCTTTATGCAAATCGCTGCTCTTTGTCTACTCATCTATCGCCACAGGATTCATTCACACTTTTCAAACAGCCACAATTTAAAAAAAAATAAAATCTATCAGTCAGGTTGTTAGCTGAGCTCCTCTGATACACTCCTTTCAGCCATGCCTCGTCTATAATATTTGAGAACTGCTCCCTACTTTTTATTTATATAAAAATAGAGTGCCTACAATTTAAAGCAGCCACACTGCATATATACCATAACATAAATTTGTATTCAGATATGGCCACTCTTACTGAAATGAATGCAAATTATGCACATATATCTGATCATAGATATGACTCAAGGTATATATGTGTCAACATAACAACATTAGTAGTCAGAAATACACCATCTCAGTGAGCAATGTGAGTAAGCCAAGGTTACTGAAAGAACTCTAAATTTTGTATTTCCTGACACAAGTGTTCAAAATTGTCACAGTGTTACATCAATTCAGATTTTATATCTTTTACGGGCCAGAACCTCAGCAAATGTAAGTGGACATGTAATTGAAATGAATGAAGCTGTGAATATTTACACCATGTGAGGATCTGGTCCCACTTTGAAATTTTATCACTCTATCAAAATGAGTCACTCCTTCAGTACTGAAGCCAGTCAGTTGACAGCATTTCAACATTCACCTCTACCCCAATATAACACTGTCCTCAGGCGCCAAAAAATCTTACCGCGTTATATCAAATTTGCTTTGATCCACCAGAGAGCGCAGTCCCGCCCCCCGGAGCGCTGCTTTACCGCGTTATATCCAAATTTGTGTTATATCGGGTCGTGTTATATCGGGGTAGAGGTGTACTATCATCATTAACTATCAGACAGTACGTTTTATTTATGATGTTCACACTGTTATCAAGATAACGTGTCCTTCAAAGAAGATAAAGAGAACTCACAGGTAGAGAACCCAGTAGGAGGACCAGTCACCAAATAAAATGGAATTAAACTTTTAGCTTAACTATATTAGCTGGAGTGCTGCATTTCACTTTCTTTTAAAACCAAAGGCATTTCTCACATATTAAAATTTCAGAATGTTGTACTGAACAAACTGGATTCAGTTTTTCCCCTGCTTTGACACAGAGATATACTCTTGATCTGGCAAAAAAAAAATAAAAATGCAGAAGTAGTACATCAAGTGCAATAAAAAAAGTTTATCCAAGTAGAGTTAGCAGTTTCTTCTGAGGACATTTGAGAAAAACAGAAAAACTAAATTTCATTTCAATGGTCTTTTGAAACTTTATGCCAAATGTTAAGCATGTTTTTCTAAGAAAAAGTACATTAGATTGCTACAGGTGGTGTAAATATTGCATCAATAGTACTGTCTTTCACAGTGCTCACAATAAACATCTTTAAATATGGATTAAATCATACTCGGACCGCCTATAGGCACTGCAGTCTAATAATGCATGGTCTGATTTTCTGTAGAAATATTTTTTTAAAACCCCACTTTTGTTCTTTGTAGCAGTGAAAATCTGGATTTCAACTTTTCCTGAAATTCCTTTCCTTAATTTCATCACGTCATTTGCTAATTATACATAGTCAAGCTCCTCTAAATCTTTCCTTTCCCTGCCGTGGGCCACTCTGGTGGCACAAAAGGCCCAGTAAAGTTGTCCTAAGTGAGCAGCTGAAAATCCCGTAATGTGAGGAAACCCTTGGCTGATGAAGATAGCTCTATGTAGTCCCCAGTGCTGGAGGAGTGAAAAGGGTAGGGGAGGCTGTGGTTAGAATGCGCTACATTCAAGCAATCCACAGATGACACAACAGTCTGTAGGGTCCATTACAAGCCAGAGTAACTTGGGGCAATCCTCAGGCTGCTCTAAATTATTCTGGCGGGTGTTAACTCCCCCCTAAAATTCAACCCTCTTATTCTCACTTTTCATACAATGCAGATCCGACTGTGCCTAAATCTCAACTCCTATAACCTACATACTGTCTGTGCTCCCTGCACTCCAACTTTGTGGTTTTCCCACGCTGCTCCCTCGGCCCAGAATATCCCTTTTCCTGTGTGTCAAGCATCCCTACACATTGCCTTCAAATCCTTCCTCAAAACCCACTTATTTCTTCCAGCTTTTTGCTAATGATTTCCATGGCTGAGCCATCTATTCATCTTTTGTTATGGGACAAACTCCATCTTAAAACTGTCCCAGCCCTATGCTCTGTCATGGCTTCTGGATGGCCAATTGTCAGTCAGAAGGTCCCATCGGTGTCGTGTGCAACACATTGGGGCCATGTGACCATTCTCGAACCTTCCGCCTGGTCAATTGTAGGTCACATTGGTACCGTGTGCTACAATTCCAGCGTGCCGTGTGCATAAGTTTAGCGTGCCGGGTGCAGTGTCTGTTTACGTAGAGGGCATCAGCTCGGAGCCTGGTTGGTGTAGGAGCAGGGAACCAATTAGATGTTAGCACGAGCAAAGGTCTTCGAATAAAACTATGTCCCTCGCCTAAATCAGCAGGAGTGTCCGCGTGTTAGCTGGAAGGTCTGATCACCCTTTCAGCCAGGATCTCCTCCAGATTTAGCCGGCTCGCGTCGTGTCATCTCGGGTTACATCTCGTCATGTCTCTGGTGTCTGTACTGCTGGTCAGCTGCCCCTGGAGTGTGGTATGTACATATTAATTTTTGTAGATATTCTGTTTGTTAGGCCTTTTTTTTCTTTATTACTTGGTACCAAATCTCATGTATAGTGTACATGTAGAGGACGAATTGTTACAGTTTACTCAGTTTTGTATGTTTGTTCTGGTTTTTCAGTAAACAGTTGGTTGTAAATTATCTGATTCCTTGTTGTTAAGTGTACATAGACTGTTTTATATTACTGCTCTGGTGATATTTTTGGTTGGTTACTTGTTCCTATTTCAATTGAATTTGTATTGTTAGTTGGTAAAGGTGCTCCTCCCCAGCCCAAGTTGTAATTCATCCCCCCATTAATAAACCGCCACCTGTTTTTGAATTACAATCTGCCTCTGTCTCAATTTTCCTCTTCCACTCGAATCCTCATTCGAGCCTGTACTGGTCTCGGACAAAAACCATACAAAGTAAGGCAAAAGTAAACGCCAAATTTTCTGAGTTAAACAAAAGATCTCCTTCTTCCTCATTTCCTAATATAAAGCTAACTTAACCACCCTTACCAGTTTTGAAGCTAAGAGGGTGGCAACCCTTCTGCTGAAGTGGATCCAGTCTAATCCAAACCAAAATAGTTCTGTAGACGGTAACCCTCTCTCCCACCCTATTAATCTATACACCAGTTAGTATCCAATACTGAGCATACTTTTTTACACTCTGGTACAAAAGGATCTCAGAGAAGACCACATGTATTGTTCCCATTTTCAGTTCTCTTCCCCAACCCCTAAAGTTATTCTCAGTTATATCCAATCCAGAGTTTGAAGTTACTTTTATAAAATAGTTTCAGTCACTCCGGATACGACTGGTTACATTTCCCTTCCCATATACAGAAAATAAATCTACTCTCCAGGGCTATCTCAGGATATGAATCAGTGATGTCTTGAGCACAAAAGCAGGATTCACATCCCTAGATAAATGATCCACGAATAAACATTTATTTCCTCTGAACTGGAGTATCACTACACCTGTTACACAAACACACAGACATATCCAGGAGTGCTATCAATATTAACCAAACCACATATTCCAGGAAAATATAACAATAATTGGTAATGACAGGTTTTCACAATGTTACCATGCACATTAGTTTCCAAGCTTGTGATTTTTCTGGGGAGGTAGAAATATAATCACATATATTTGAAAGCAATACATTGGCATTTCTGATATTTTCCCAACTATGGCACAGATATAGCACAGCCGTCAAGTAATCCTACTGTCATTTTTTCAGTGGAATATGGGTTCACGCTTTGGCAAACAGAGTTTGAATCGGTTGTGAGAAGTACCGCTTTTGATTCTGGAAGTAGAAAATCCTCACTGTTCAGTGTGCCTCTTGACTAACCTATGTTGCAACAGTGCCATTCAGCTTTCATGAAATAGGAAATCATTTACCTTTTAACCTGGAGACTAGATATGCAATGGAGACACAAAGTGAGAGGGCAGGTGGTTGAGATGAAAGTTATTTTGGAAGGAAGGAAATAAAGATGGGTCAGAGCAATAATGAAAGGGAAAGGACTGAATCACACATCAATATTCACACAAAAGGCACATGTTTGCAAGACATAGTAGAGGACTCTTATCTTAGATTGCACAGTGACAAAAACATGAAATATTTTAAGAATGTGCTGTTTCAAGCATAACTCAAAAAAAGACACTTTGCAGCCCTTTCCCTTCCTTCTTGCATATATTTAACTAGATACCACAAGTTTCTACTGATGCCAGCTCTATTCATTAGGACAGTTAAGTGTCCCATCTATATGGATAGGTAATTCATTCATAAGTATCTGCATTTGTGGGTTTTTACAAAAAGGATATTTTTTCAGCATGTACAGAGTAGCTAGTCTTGAAGCTCGAAAGTTGGCTCTGACAGATCGGTAAACAGCTTTCCGAAGACCGATGAGATGCTGACTAGGATGCTGTCCAGCTTTATTAAATGGGCAAGCGGCACTGACCCTGTCAAGCAAACTTGAAAAGTAAAATGTGATACAACTGTACAGATGTCCTAAAGAATTTCAAAAAGACAATACATCAATTTCACTTTCATATCCCTTATTTATAAAAGACAATCCTTTTTTATAACGGGTCAATACATATAATTAAAGCAACAAAGTTTTACCATATCAGTGATACATTTCATTAAAAAATTTAAATGAAAAAAGAATAACTCAGTAAAGGTCCTGATCCTGCTCCCATTGGGGTCAATGGCAAAATTCCTATGGACCTCAATTGTACAGAATCAGGTACTACAAAAAGAAAGCACTGTATAGAGACACTGTAAGGCTAATGAACTCTGACCTGAACATAACAGAAGTCCACTGTAAGTTTTAAAAAAATATATATTTAATGCATACCTCTCTACATGCAACTAATTCCTTAGTTTTTACAAATGATTTTGCAGATAGGCTGTGCTCCGCTATCTATTTAGATTAATCTATATTCCCCTCCCCCCAACCAGTACAAGGAATGTTATCCAGTTTGATGAGGTTATCAAACATTTGAGTGGAAGGACAATTTACCATAAAAACTACAGACTGCAGAAATTCTTGTGGCACTGTTATAGCTAGAAATACAAAATGAAGCAAAGATTCTGAAAGGCATGCAATTACATATACTAACATTTTAAAATACACATTGATCTCAATGTATACATATGCATATCGGTGTGTCACTGTGTCATTTGCTTGTGGGAACAGACTGCAGCAGGGCTTTACGAAAGTGCCATTATAAAAAATGATCTATTCTGTAAATAAACTGAAATGTACCTGTGTGAATTTTAAATATTTGCATGTTAAGTTACAAAAAACAAAAAATGTAGTACAGACTAATCTTCTGTTAGTGCACAGTATACTTAATAATGTGAAAGGTATTTATTAAAATAACATTGTACACAAGCTATAAAAACTTCATACCATATTAATATACAAGAGTAATACTTAACCATGATCAAATAAAATCTTGTATGTAAAACATTTTTTATTATAAAAGAAGCAAAACAAACTGCATTAGCTTGCAATTTTACCAAAGCAAAATTAATATGTTTGTCCAGTTCTGTGTTTTCACTTGAACCTTAAAATTAACATCTGTTACAGATTCTCTCTCAAAATTTCTATGGCTATTTGAACTTACCAATTGCTACTGTTCAAAGGTGAACTCATTTCAGTCTTTTAAACCATACACTTCAATGGGTTGTAAGAAGTGTGTCTGGAGAAGCTAAGGATTAATTTAAGAAAGTAGGCAGAAAGCTACCAATGTTTTCTCCACAGCAAAGATTGTAAGCACTTGCAGCTCTACTACAAGACACCCACCCATCACCCTCGCTCCTGTGTACAACCAATGCCTTGAAAAAGAGGGTTGTTTTGTGATTTGTAACATTTGTTTCCATGTAGGGTGACCAGGCGTCCCGATTTTATAGGGACAGTCCCGATTTTTGGGGCTTTTTCTTATATAGGCTTCTAATTCCCCCCAAACCCCGTCCCGATTTTTCACACTTGCTGTCTGGTCACCCTATTTCCATGTCAGATGTTAATCTCAGCAGTTTGTATAAATTTATAGGACTGAATTCTTCCTTTCTTTTTTCCTGAGAAACATCAAACCAGCATCATTTGCTATGTTTCTGAACATACCAGAGATACATCATCCCAGGATCTTTGTTAAATGTTACTGGACCATGCTGTGTAGCAGCGGTGACAGGCAAGAGGAAAAAGTGTTGAGGATGAACTTCCTTTTCCCTACAACACCAAAATCTATCTCAATTATAAGATACTGCAATTTAAAGCTCTCTCAGTCTCACAAGCTAGATTTTAACTAAGGTTGAAATAGGATTTGTGTGTCATAGGCTCATACTGCCTCATATTAATAAAATCAGTTACTACACATGAGCATGGTGGTAGTTCTATAAAGATGCTGTGTGCATCAATACATGCTTGTATATTTCAAATTGGAATCAAGCCCTACAAGAGCAATAATAATATTTGGGAAAGCTCATTACTGAAATGCCAACCAAATAAATAGTCCTCATTATAGAAAAGAGTGGAATTTCACTATATATTTTTACAATTTGCATTTTATAAGGGGCAGGGAAATGGAAGCATTTTCAATAGCTAGTAGGAATTCCAAACAGTGACCCTAGGCAGGACTACTTGATGGGAACTCATTAGCTTAGTCAGTACCTTTCAAAACAAAAACAAAACCTTGTTTTGAAAGGTAATGACTACACCTACACCTAATTGCAAAGAGAATTTAGGGCATTGTCCATGTTTCTCTCTAAAGGCATCCTGCTGTCTGATGGACGATAACCAGTTGCATTTGAAGTACTGAAGGTGAAGGAGCTCCAGCAGGTTGGAGGGGAGGAATTGAAGGTGGGATGAGGTTTTTACAGAATAAAACAGATTCAACAGGAGCTTTCATGTTGCTGAGACGATGAATAAATGACCAAAATCTTGTTCTTAGCACTTACTGGAATATATTGCTACAGTAGCATCCCTATCAACTTATAGGGTGAGTTCCTGACCCAGTTAACGTCAACGGCAAAATTCCTAAGCTTCAGAGCTGTAAAATGGCACAGAGAGACAGCCCTTAACTTAGTGTAACCATATTCAGTGTCACTTGACTCCCTATAGCGAACATTAAAGCTACTTTACTACATAACTGCTAGAGGACATATTAAGCTTTTTTTCTTAAGGTCTATTAGCAGGAAACTACACTACAGCTCAAAGCAAAATTGGGGGCAACAATCATCACACAGAGTGCTACTTCAAGTAAACAATTTTCTGACTGTTCCTCTAGAGCATATTATATGTATAGGCCTTCTGAGGAAAACACTCTAGAGTTGGTTAAGGGTTTAAAAAAAAAAAAAAGAAAGGTCATAGACTTGGTCCATATTGGACCATTACTTCAGAGATCCATGTATTGAGCGTACTGGCTCAGTTACCTTCAAACCACCCGTGATACTGTATGGAATTGGGACACACTTTATTATAAAATTGCAAGGAGTCATGCCAGATATGCCATGTAAGGTATCTGTGAAAATGTTATGATTTGCCAAGTATCATAATCTTGTTTATATGTTTGTAACCCTTTTGTATTGTGAGTTATAGATATGTATGGTATATCTGTATTTCAAAACTTGTGCTGTGTTTCTGACAGAATGGCATCGGTACTAAGCCTGCTTGATGGCCCCTCAAAGGACATCAGCTGTACAATGAACCTATTGAGAGAAGGCAGGGACTACATCTTATGAGTCAGCAAGACTTGTAAGGGAATGCCTGTGGACAGAGAACTCTAAGGCTTTTCCATGCCATGTGCGGTGAAGCTTGTGTTTGGGACAAAGGAAGTACAGGCCACATGGCAAAAGGTATAAAAGACAGGTGCATCATCTCAATTTTGTCTTCAATCCTGCTTCTTACCTCTGGAGCAACTTTTCTACAAACAAAGCTCTGAACAAAAGACTGAATGACCCATCCAAGCTGTGGATGTGTTCCAGAGGGATTTTCAAGCCAGCAAACTAACCAATACTGTTAAGAACCTGATATATGGACTTTGAAGCCTTATGTATGTATCTGATTGCTTTACCATTTAACAACTCTCTTCTTGTTCTCTCTTTTTTCTTTATAATAAACCTTTAGTTTCAGATACTAAAGGATTGACTGGCAGCATGATATTTTGGGTAAGATCCAAACTAATACTGACCTGATAATGTGGCTGACTCTTTGGGGTCAGAAGAACATTTTGTATAGTGAGCAGAGTTTTTAAACTACTTCTCACTGTACTGGACCTGTGCGCTGATTGAGAGACAGAGAACTGGAATGCAATAAAGGGGGCTGCGTGATTTCTTTTTTAGTTTCTTGATAACCAATGTGGGGGATTAGGAGCACAGTTTGTGACTGGTTGGTGAGTCTAACTTCAGTGTTAATCACCAGTTTGGGGAGTATCTGTTCTCCTTTTTGCAGCCTGCCCAGACCTTAGCATTTTCAGTGAGGGCTACCCTACGCACCCACACACAACCCCCATCCATGCACACCCAAAGAAATCCTCTCTAAAAGGTTACTAAGATTTAAAGAAAAGGGGATATAAGATCAGAAATCAACTTTAAGCTCATCTATTGTTTTAAACTACTAACTTTTAGATATGTAATTAAAGAGCAATCAGACCACAGATTTGTTAAAATTAGAAGAAAAAAATCAGATGTTTTTCTCAACTGCAATCTGGACAAGTCCTAACAGTAAATTCTTTCTGAGACTCTTTTTGTGAAGATTAGACTGAATATTGCTTAATTGTATTCTGGCTCAACGAAAACATATCTAGGCTGACTTAGGACATGCTTAAACACTCCAAAAAGAAGATAAAATATGTCCTTGGCAAAACATAATGTAGGCATCTCATCATCTAAAGTTAGGAAATTAATTCAAACTAGGTAGGGTACAGTTTCAGCCTTGCATGTGGCATAATGTGCTCAAACACAAAACAGTTGAACTGGTAGGAATAGCATAATGTCTACAAATACAGATCAAAGTTCTCTGTGTATATTAGGGCTTTCAAGTCAGAAATTTATACAGATCCCATAAATCAAAGTGGCGCAAAAAGGAGGTATTTTATTGATCTTAAAAAGATGATGACTGGACCATTTTTTGCATTTTCCTCCTTCTTCCACCCAAAGTTCTATTAGCACAATGTGCGGCTAGAAATTACATTGACTTAAAACAACAGAAGGGAAGGACAATGCACAGGTGCAAGCACGTTGGCTTCCAGATCAGTACATGTGTTCAGTGTATCACAATGTTCATTCATCCAAATCAGGAAGAAAACACACAAGAGCCAATTCAACCACAGACACCCAATAACTAGGATCAGAGTATCAAATCCCATAACTGGGAAAAGACAAATTCTGTTGGTAAACAGTTCTGAGTTTTAAGCTTCTGAGGGGAAAGAGATGTGGAAAAAAATATTTTCAACCTATGACCTTTCATAGCATTTCTTTGATTATAAGTAATGTGAAGAAAATAAAATTATTATTGCACATCATACAGAAGGAAACATTTTTTCACATAATCTTTCGTTATAAAATACTGATTACTTGCAGGGCAGATAATGTTAGAAAACATTTTTTGGTAATCTAAAATGCTAAATACTTACATCAAAATAGTGACATATAATTTAAAATTACTACATGACCCTTCAAGAACTGCTCACTAAAGGGGCTTAGAGCCCCTTTGTCTCTCCCCTCTCTTCCCCATAAATAATTACTTATTTATATTGTCAGTAGTGTAGGAGGAGATTTTCAAAAGGTACAAAGGACAGTTTGGTGCCCAAATAATAGAGCTTTTGTGACATTGAAAATCTTTATAGTGCACACTTTTAAATAGAGCTGTCAGACTTTGAACACCTGCAATGTAATTATCATGGTAGTTACACAAGTTTGTCTGTATAAATGACAATCTTAATTAAAAAATTAAAATGTATATCGTTTTCCAACAGATTCCATCTGTCATTGGAGATAATATTATAGAATTTTAATATTTAATTGGCTTGAATGAATCCATATATAAAATGAAATAAAATAAAGACTCACAGGGTAAATCCTCTGGAAATGACTTCAGTCTCTTGAATGAGTCGCAGAGCTTTTCTCACAAGATTAGTAAAAGCGCGGCTATTTGCCACTGTCTCTTCCAGCTGGAGTCTGTATTTTCTCAGGGACATTTGCAGCTTGGCTATCCTCCATGTGCCTAGAGCTCTTATGATCACATAGACAAACAGAACTAGTCCCCACACCAGCCAGAATGATCCATTCCACCATGAAGGAAGTATAATCAATGCACTGACAAAGGCAAGCAGCAGAGACACATCCCTGCAAACAAAGGAATAGACAAAGTGACATCTACTACCAATTCCTGAGATTAACCAACTGAGGAAAGTCATGAGACTCTCAACTACAATGCTGTTTACATTTAGTTACATGGACTTTTATGTGGGTTTTTAAGAGAACTATAAACAGCAACAAGATCACTAAATGGAAGATTTAGGTGATATGTAGGGAATTAGTCCATAAAGCTATGATATATTTTCTTAATTTAAAACAGCCAGTGGAAAAATAATGCACCAATTTGAAAGGTCAATCTTTCAAACATATGACTTACCAAAAAAAAAAAGATTGCTCAGCATTAAAAGCAAGGGTGGATGGGAAATGTACAGTCTGCACTTCCAGGTTCAAGAGGACAGTGGTAAAGGGCATGATTCTTTTAGGTAAGCAAACGTTCTAAGTAATGACAGTTTTATTTTTCCAGATTCTGACTCATTTAACCTGGACACCACACACTACGAAGTTCTAACAAGCCTTTAAAAAGCTGGCTGTGACAATCTTTTTAGGCAGCCCTAAAGCTTTTCAAATTACCAGGAACAATAGAAGCTAAAGCCTCATTTGAGCTATGTTCAAAAGCAAATTTTTCTTTTGAAAGTTTTGACAGAAAAATTGGTCTATTAGAAAACAGAATGTGGGCCTTTGTATTTAATCTGTAATTCTGCGAAGCTATAAGCTTTCCAAGCTTCAAATAACTTCATACCTATTTATTAGGGCTGACTGGGAAACAGACTTCCAGTTCATCAATTATTTATTTATTTATTTATTTTTAGTTTTTGGGAAAAAATTGCCTTGAATCATGACAAAATACAAAAACTTGAAAATTTTGCCTTACTGGAATTCTGCAATATTTCAATTGGGGAATGCCAATTGAACATTTCAAAACACTTCAGGTATTTCTGAAACAAAATATGCTGTCTGGGCTCCCAGGAAACCTAGAAGCCCTGATTCTACAGCAGTCCACCAGGCAGCTACTGAAGAGCTGACAGCTTAGAAGCCATGGCTCTGCAGCAGCTCACCTCATGCTGGGGAACCTGGGAGCCAGGAGCCTGTGCTGCTGTAAACTGCAGAGGCAGTAAGCTGGCAGGAAATCAGGTAGAATCGCACCTAAATTCACGTTTCTGTGGAACATTTTAATTTTGACTAATCAGCATTTTCTGATGGAAAAATGTTCCACTGGAAAATTTCCAACCAGCTCCAGTATTTACAGATTAATGAATCCGATACCTTCTTCCTTCAACACCATTCATAAGCCACTTGCATTTTCACATAACACCTGCAATATGGTACTCTGCATAGCTTCAATGTGTTTGACCCCCCACTCTTACAAGACTGGAAGGCAAACCCAAAAAGATACGAATACAGAGATCCACAATAAGAAGACCAATTTCAATACGTAGTATAGTACATAATTCTTTCACGCTATTTACTGATTTTAGAAGCGGCCCAGGGTTAAAGAAAGCATTGTGTAGGGTGTAAAAACATTCTGGATAGGAAATTAATTTTAAGAGGACAGAGTCATAGGCTTAAAGGGCAGGCAACTTTTATAAACAGGGCCTGTACACTAGTGTGAAATTCATTATCCTTCTGTAACTTCCCTGTTATATCTAATAGACTTCCTGCTGCCCTGTTTTGCAATGAAGTACTTCTCACTGATGACTACATCACTAGCAGCATGAATTATGTAAATGTAATGAACTCAGTAGTATGATCCAGTCTACGAAACTTCTCATACATTTCACATCTCCTAGTTCTACTCACCACTTTTACCATATGGCAGAAAATTCTCCAGACCTGCCTCTGTCACTTCATGTTTGAGACACATTAGAAGTGGAATACAAATTTATCTTTTTAAATTTTAAATAAAGACAAAAGTTTGGCCTGAAGAAAACCAAAACAGGAATGCTAAAGGGTCCAACAAATTGTTTAAAAATACCAAAAAAGTAAAATTAATACTACAAACTTTTCAACTCAGAAGTGGAAAATCCAGTCTCCAGGTCAGTGTGCTTACACTAGACATGTACCAAAGCCATCAGAAAATCACTTTAGAAGTTCAAGAACTAACCAACCACTTTATTTAATAAAATATGTCAAAACATCCATAAGTGCCCATCATGTGTTCTGGGAGCCCATCCCATAAATTAAAATATACAATGTAATATAAAGGACTACACGTAACTATTCACCAGCCTTCAACCCACCCTCTCTTCAAAAGCCTGAGGGAAAAATGGGCTTTTCAATGTGCCCAGGAAGTTAAAAAATCTGGCCCTGGCAGACCAAAGGGGAGTCAAATAACCTAAAACAAAGACTTTAGAGGAGAAAAGACACACTTTTTTGTAAAGTCTCTTATGCAAAGAGCATGCTGATAGTTTCCCCATCAGTATATCTAAATGGTCACAGGCATAGGCGTTTTCTGGACAGTACCAAATATTAGGCGTTGCTAGGGAGCGTAGCGTTGGAAGGTGTCCATTTTTTTGTTGCTTGGACTGCCCTGCAGACAGGATACTGGGGTCAAGTAGCTCAATCAGTTCCACATCCTCATGTAGCAGAACTTCCTGTTGCAGGATGGTATAGAGAGAGTCCAGTCGAAACCCAACATCCTTAACATGAATGAGTGAAAAAAACAAAAAAAAAAACAGGGCATGAGTAGAGATTAAGTTGTTAAAAAATAATAAAACTTTATTGTTTATAGTTCTGTAGATGCCAGCATTTTAGACATGCGACAATTGGCTACACCACCTCTCTCAAATGTGTTTCATTCTAAAACTTCTTCTGCCATCTCATCTTTAAAGATGCTTTCATTGAACTCACAACCTGGTCCTAAATGAGGACAATGTGGCTGAACTGGAAACATGCTACATGTTGTATGAATATATTTCCACAGGAATGAGTGTAGGCACTAGAATTTACCAGAAGAATGGAAGTCAAACTGCAACCTGAAAAGTCTGTTGTGTTCCAATGAATCTAGCTTTTTTCCATAGCATCTTTCCTTAGCAAACAAAAAGACGTTAAGATAGAGACATTGCAAATCAGTCAGTTACAAAAATTGGCTGTGGACCAGTTGACAAAGACCAGGTCAGTTGGCTGGAATTAGAATCCCCACCTGCAGTGGGATTCTCCAGGAGAGAGCCACAAGACCTTTCCAAAGGGAGCTGTGACTCCACAAATGAAACAGCATGGGATCCTGTGGACCTTTGACTTACCAAAGGTAACAGGAACTTTGGGTGGTACCAATGATTTTAATGCCATCACAAACATTTGCACTTCCCCTTCTTCAACTAGAACATTTAAAGAAAAAATCTCTGCTGCTATATTACCTACCAAAGTAGCTCTCTGAAGTCTTAAATCAGATACTGAAGCAAACCGTAACTCTAAAACATCAAAAGTTTTCCAATGAAGAGAGTGTTCAAACAGACCATAATGAAAATTTACTATCAGCATGTGGTCTGAAGCAAGATGCAAGTGTAAAAAGAGAAAATACTTCTCTTCTGCAGCGTCTTCAGTCAGAAGCCGTTAACAGACCTCAAGGAGTTTGCCGTTTCATTGCCAAAATATTTTTAGTTTTCAATCCAACTGGCACTATTAAAGTCAAAATAAGTATTTCTCATTGACTCAGTGGAGTAATCTACTATGAAGATAGTAGGAAAATAGCTATCTGAAGGCCCTAATTCTTTAAAATAAAATAACAATAAATTAAGGAAACTCGGTATTCTCTTATACCCTCCTGCATTCAGTTTTTACTGGAGAAGACTTGATTAAGGAAGCCACAGAGCAGACTATGTGCTGAAGTGAATTCAAGAACACTTCTCTTGAGACTACAAAAACAACAAGGAGTCCGGTAGCACCTTAAAGACTAACAGATTTATTTGGGCATAAGCTTTCGTGGGTAAAAAACCACTTCTTCAGATTCATGGAATGAAAATTACAGATGCAGGCATTATATCAGTGATTCTCAAACTTTTGTATTGGTGACCCCTTTCACATAGCAAGCCTGTGTGTGTGACCCCCCCTTAGAAATTAAAAACACTTTTTTACATATTTAACACCATAATAAATGCTGGAGGCAAAGCAGGGTTTGGGGTGGAGGATGCCAGCTGGCGACCCCCCCATGTAATAACCTCGTGACCCCCTGAGGGGTCCCAACCCCAAGTTTGAGAACCTCTGCATTATATAATGACACATGATGAGAAGGGAGTTACCTCACAAGTGGAGAACCAGTGTTGACAGGGCCAATTCGATCAGGGTGGATGTAGTCCACTCCCAATAACAGATGAGGAGGTGTCAATTCCAGGAGAGGCAAAGCTGCTTTTGTAATGAGCCTGGTGAAAAAAATTTCCCTGGAACCTAACCCCCTCATTTACATTAATTCTTATGGGGAAATTGGATTTGCTTAATATCGTTTCGCTTAAAGTCGCATTTTTCAGGAACATAACTACAACGTTACGTGAGCTGTTCCTGTATGTCAACTCCCCATTGGTCAGTCTTGCTGACTGGCACTGAATGAGGCAAAATATAGATCAAGGAAAAGCGTATGAGACAGTGTATGGAGCACACAGGGACTGGGGGAAGGATATAAAAAAGTAATTACTTACCAATCTGTAGAGTAGATCATCTTTTTTCTTACATGGTGAAAAAGGAAATGAGCTTTTAAAGAGCTCAGCTAGTTTTGACAGGATGCCTTGCTAAAATGAACAGAAAACTGAAATTACAAATATAAAAGAAACAATAATTCATTTACTCCTGCTTCAGTTTCTCTTGATAAGTCAAATTCCAAGTACCTGAGACTTAGTTTTCCCTTACTCTATCTGGCCCAACTTCAGAGTATGCTAAGGGAATACCTGTTTCTGGTGACCTGAAAATTTTGCCAGTATACAAGAAGGTGAAATAAAGCTTTCATTAGCCCCTTCATTCCAGGTGCTATAAATGCTACATTGTTAAAGCAAGTGTAAATAGGATTAGCCCATAGGTCTGAGGGTTGTAGTTGCTGCCTAAGCATGAAGGATCCCCTCTCTCTTTGAGAATAAAAAAAGAACCAAGCAGGATTAAATGGTCTAAGGAACCCAAGGGGAAAAAAGGGACTGGGAACAAGGAGCTGCCTTTATCTATGCAGGTGCCACGACTAGAAGACAGGGATTGTGGCTGGCCTAGTGGACACAGATATTGAAGATGATGAGACCCCGTGATGACAATTGCTGTAACTGTTCCAGAAGCTCCATGTTAGATTAGCACTAAGCATCATATACTCTTATCTCCATGCTATATCACATTCAACCTAAAACTGGGCTTTTAGCGTCATTTGTGAGTTGTAGACCTCTAATTAGGGACAGACTATGTCCTTTGAAATAACTACTGATCCAGGACAATAATCAACAAGTATTTCTTTAAAATATGACCAAAAAAAGAAACCATGTCTTGCCTGACCCTGCAATTACTTAAAATGGAGTGAGATGCTTATAAACACATACTGTATACACCTCTACCTCGATATAACGCTGTCCTCAAGAGCCAGAAAATCTTACCACATTATAGGTGAAACCGCGTTATATTGAACTTGCTTTGATCCACTGGAGTGCTGAGTCCCACTCCCCGCCCCCCCCCCCCCGGAGCACTGTTTTACTGCGTTATATCCAAATTTGTGTTATATCAGGTCGCATTATATCGAGGTAATGGTGTATATGCTTTCCACATCTCTTTGTAGAGCTGGTAGAAGGTAGTTTTAAAAATATTTACATGCATTACATGAATTTCACGACCACACCTCTGAACCTTCAATCTGCTAATATGCAACACAAGCAACCAAATTATGTGACAAATGACTGAAATGTAGAATACTGTGTTTTGTTGCATATTGCATCGTAATTCATAGATAAGAATGGTTTTTTTAAATGTAAAACATGGTAACGGTATTTTCTCACTGTGTGAATTCAATAATTCATTTCTTAAACAAGAAAACTGGTTAAAACAAATTCCATTATGTACAATCTAATGAGCCCCCAGATGGGTTGGCACCAGGATTGTGAGCTGTGGACCGTCAAGTGGACCACATGAGCTACAGAAATGTCTATGTCCTCTATGTGGAGCAGCCATTAGAAAGGAAAGCAACACAAACTTCTCCAGTGAATTACAGAACTAGTAGTAAAAAGCAGTGGAATGATTTTGGGGATCAGAATTCCTGAGTTGTTAATAGTATGGGGATGGGAGTGTAGTCTAATAGGCAGAGCCAGGATAGTCAAGCACATAAGATTTGACATTTGTTCTGAACGGAAGTGTGACTGACTTGATGTGGCAACCCAGAGATGAAAAGCTTTAGCTATCCAGAGCCATTCAGTTCCATGGGACATTTTTTTAAAATAATAAAACCAACACATTGGTTGATGTGGAGAAATGGAAAACTTCTGATTTATTTTTATGAAAGAATATATGTGACTCAGTTTCCCCTCTCACTTTGTATTGTAGCCTGCTGGGGAATGAAGAGGTTAACTTCTTTCTTGAAGCAAGACATGCAAGGCAGTAACTATGGGAGTCAGGGCAGTCACTAAGCATAAATGAACTAGAAGGAACTAATAGCACTAGGGGGTAATTGCTGCAAACTTCTAGACAAGTAAACAAGTCTGCCAAAGTACCACGCCCTGGGAGAGATTGCACAGATCGGTTTTGACAGGACTTAAGAGGCCCAGAAGACAAAGAACCAAGAAGTGAATAAAGTGGAGAGCCTGCTACAGAAGGGGGGTTCAGCCTCACTCAACCCAAGAACTGGCATAATTTAACCTAGAGGGCAAAACCCTACTGGAAGGGTTGGAAGGACTTTGAAACCTGCCATGGTCTACAAGTGGAAGATGGGTCACAACTGGTAAGACAGGCATGCATATATGTTATTTCAGAGTAGCAGCCATGTTAGTCTGTATCCGCAAAAAAGAACAGGAGTACTTGTGGCACCTTAGAGACTAACAAATTTATTTGAGCATAAGCTTTCGTGGGCTACAGCCCACTTCATCGGATGCATAGAATGGAACACACAGAAAGAAGATATTTATACATACAGAGAACACGAAAAGGTGGGAGTAGCCATACCAACTGTAAGAGGCCAATCAATTGAGATGAGCTATCATCAGCAGGAGAGAGGAAAAAACCTTTGAAGTGATAATCGAGATGACCCATAGAAGGTGAGAGGGTATTTTAACATGAGGAAATAGATTCAATTAGTGTAATGACCCAACCATTCCCAGTCTCTGTTCAAATCTAAGTTAATTCTATCTAATTTGCATATTAATTCAAGTTCAGCAGTCTCTCTTTGGAGTCTGTTTTTGAAGATTTTTTGTTGCAAAATTGCCACCTTCAGGTCTGTCACGGAGTGGTTAGAGAGATTGAAATGTTCTCCCACTGGTTTTTGAATGTTATGATTCCTGATGTCAGATTTGTGTCCATTTATTCTTTTACGTAGAGACTGTCCGGTTTGGCCAATGTATATGGCAGAGGGGCATTGCTGGCACATATCACGTTGGTAGATGTGCAGGTGAATGAGCCCCTGATGGCATGGCTGATGTGATTAGGTCCTATGATGGTGTCACTTGAATAGATCTGTGGACAGAGTTGGCATCAGGCTTTGTTGCAAGGATAGGTTCCTGGGTTAGTGTTTATGTTGTATGGTGTGCGGATGCTGGTGAATATTTGCTTCAGGTTGGGGGGCTGTCTGTAAGAGAGGACTGGTCCATCTCCCAAGATCTGTGAGAGTGAGGGATCATCTTTCAGGATAGGTTGTAGATCTTTGATGATGCGCTGGAGAGGTTTTAGTTGGGTGCTGAAGGTGATGACTAGTGGCATTCTGTTATTTTCTTTGTTGGGCCTGTCCTATTGTAGATGACTTCTGGGTACTCTTCTGGCTCCGTCAATCTGTTTTTTCACTTCAGCAGGTGGCTATTGTTGTTTATCACTTTCTCTGTACTGCTTTTGTTCTAAAGAAATACTTTGCTTTATGAAGATGGGCCGGTCACTGGTTAACCCTGTCATCGTCCTTGGTAGATAATAGGACCACAAGTCCTGAAGTAACCTCAGGCTTGTCTACACTAACAACTTATGTCGTCACACCCCAAGTGATGCAGTTATACTGACCCAGCTTCTGGTGTAGCCAGCACAATGTTGATGGAAAAAACTTGACATAAGCTACTGTTTCTCAAGAAGGTGGAGCACTATGCTGACAGGAGAAGCCCTGTGCAGCAGCAGCCTTTTAAGTGTAGACAAGCCCTCAGACTTGCTAATATGATTACACTGAAAAGCGCAAGAAATTGCAGGGTAAATCCACAGTCTGGAGGGAAAGGAACCCCTCACCCCAAGCAAGGTGACAGCTAGACGCCCTCAAGGAGGTCAGAAAGGGATCACAGGTGCAGTTACCCCAGAACAGTGATATTTGGGTCCAACAGTGTAACCCAAACGATGCTTCCACGTATATATGCCATCTGTTTCTATGCCCGATTAGAGCTATAGAGCCATATCTGAGGGAAGTATTAGTGAGGTTAGGATGATATAATGGACCAACACATCAGATATCACAATGACAGTTCTTCTGGCTGTACAGTTATCATCCTATCCCAACAAGGGGAGCTATCTAATTAGACTATGAAAAAGTCCAAGGGAAGCATTCAAAATACTGTCATTTGAGGTACTGAAAACTAGAACAGGCAACATGCTAGAAATGTACTGTACAGAGCAATCCTACATTACCCAGGGAATGAAGTAATAATAAACTAATAGGTTTGTTCCAGCTCTAATTTCTATTATTACAGCTTGAAGTTCCTGTTGCCTATGAAGGTAGGAGAAGGGAATTTTGGTGACAAGCTAAAACTCTCTTTACCTACAGAACATTCTGAGGCTGCAGAGAGGCAGTGGCAGTAGACTGTCCATTTAGAAACACCACTGAAAGCAACAAGAAGTGTGTCACAAACTATAGCGCTACAAGAACTGTGTTATAAAGAGCTCCCTAGTCATATAACATGAAGCAATGCAAAGTAAAGCAAAATGCCCTCTTGGTAATGAGTAGAAGCAATGAGTGGGGTGTAAACAATGGCCCTTGAACTACATTTGACTGGTCAGATGGATACTTAATTTAGACGAGAACCTCTGCTCCCAGTGTACTGAAAGTACAGTACAGAAAAATTTATTTATTATTTCAAGATAAAGTTTTGTTTTAAGGACAATAAACTTTTTAAACTACTTTCATCTTCTGGGGTCTTCAGCTCTTGATTGCACACATTTAAATCAATACCAAGGACAGTTTTAATTAATGACCATTAAAGTCAGCAATAAAGCACTGCTACCAGCTAATATAATCTGTTGAGTTACAGACTAAACCAGCTTGGAGTGCTGTATAAGTTATCTTTTGGTTCATATTCCTCATTTTGATTTTAAAGAAAAATCTGAGCTTGCATAAATGCAAGACAGACAGGCCAAAGCTCGAAGATGCAAAACAAGACAACCCACTGTTTTGGGCTGTGAACCAGTGGTGTGCGGTAACACATTACATTATTCAGGTATCTTGGAATGATGTCTTATAGTCTTTATTCCCACTGGAAGTGTTACTGACAAGTAAAACAGTCTTCATCAACACACAAGTCAGGTCATGTTGCCTTTGATGACTCTTGAGTATTCTCCTTGCTACTTTAGAACAAAAATAAGTTAAATGGGCTCTTTGTGAAACATATAGTAAAATATGTATCCCCCTATATTTTAACTTATGGCAAGGGCTATAGTCATGCTTTTATGTGTGTTCATTTAAATCCAAATAAATAAAATAGTTACTGTTTCCTTTTAGTATGGGATGAATTCAAGATGGCATTTATAGTATCTTACATTTATATAGCACTTTCATCCCAACACATTTCACAAAGTGAAACTACGGAGAGGTTACTTTTACCTACTATTAAAATATAATCACATCTGGGGTAAAATGTGACGTGGCAACTATTTAACAGCACTCAGAAACACACACAATAGTTTAAGAAAGGAAGTGGAGAAAAATACCCTACGCGATTTAAATTATGGAGGAAATTTAAGTAAGATGAAAGTCAAATGTAACTACCCAAATTGGAAGTAAGCCAGGAAACTGGGTCTAGAAACCCTTATTCTAACAAAGGCCTGGTCTACACTACAGAGTTAGTTCAATGTAAGACAGCTTTCGCTGACCTAACTCTGTAAGCATTTACACAAAATGTAGCTCCCACTTGTAACTATATAACTTGCCCAATACACCAACTTAATAACATCACCTCTGCGAGAGGTGTAAGGCTTAAGTCGATGTAGTTAGGTCGACATAGTGTCAGTGTAGACACTGCATTGCTAACATCGACTGTTGCTGCCTTTCAGAAACTGTCCCATAATGGCAGTTAAATTGGTGCAAGCACGCCTGGTGAAGACATGCTTAGTGAGGTGTGGATATGTAAAACCAATTCAATTACTGCAGTGGCTGTATGTCAACGTAACTTAGTTCAACATGGATTTTCGGATAATAGTCTTTCCTTCACCAATCACTCAGGTGGCAGCCTACAGGAAAATCAGCATTTTTGTCATCCTCCCTTGCCCCAGGAGCATAATTCTCTCCTTTTCCAGGCAGTTAGATTCCTACATCTAGCACAGGGGTCGGCAATCTTTCAGAAGTGGTGTGCCAAGTCTTCATTTATTCACTCTAATTTAAGGTTTCGTGTGCCAGCAATACATTTTAACATTTTTAGAAGGTCTCTTTCTACAAGTCTATAATATATAACTAAACTATTGTTGTATGTAAAGTAAATAAGGTTTTTTAAATGTTTAAGAAGCTTCATTTAAAATTAAATTAAAATGCAGACCGGTGGCCAGGACCCGGGCAGTGTGAGTGCCACTGAAAATCAGCTCGCATGCCACCTTTGGCACACATGCCATAGGTTGCCTACCCCTGATCTAGCAGGACACACAGCCATACGGAGGAGAACAGAAGCAGATGCCGCTGCAAGAGATCCTGTAGCCTCTTGGAGGAAGAATCCAGCTCTTGGGAAAAAAAACACTATTTCTCGTGCCTGGGTGTTTTGGAGGAGTCATTTGGGACCTCACAGTTGTTCACCAATCCAGGTTCAAAAAGTTTACGTCCTCAATTGTTCATCTAGGTTTTTGGCAGCAATGAATTGCATTTAATGTTTTTCATTTGAAAGCCATGTAGCGACTTGCTTTTATGGTACTTACAAATCAAGGTTACTCTTTGGAACAGGATGGAAAAGAACAAGTGCATTGGTGTTCCTTCTGCAGATATACACAGTGAGCATCAATTACCAGGTCTTTCTATTCTGCATGCGAGTATATATATACGCATTAAAGTAGCACTCAACCAAGACCAGGGCCCAAGTGAGCTAAGCAATGTAGTCCCTGCTCCCAAGCGTTTACAATCTATATGCACTAGACAGATAAAGGGTAAGAACAAGGAAGTATTAATCCCATTTTAAAAATAGGGAACTGAGGCACAGAGAAATTAAATGATTTGCCCAGTCACAGAGAAGTCATGGGCAGTGGTGGGAATTGAACCCAGCTCTCAAGCAGCAGTCCAGTGTCTTAACCATAAGACCAATCTTCCCCTCATCACACACTAACAATAAGTCAGTTCCCTTCAGAGACGTCACTGAAATGGGAAGGAGAAGCAGAAATTAAAAGACAGAAATAGACTATCTGGCATTAGAGAGAGAACTGAAAAGCACCGAGGTTTCAAAGCCAATACTGATTACATCAATTCCAATTCACAATATCCTGTAACTCAAAATTAGTGTGTGGGTTTTTTCCCTCCCTTCCTCACACTCTCTCATTTGAAAACAGATGAGACAAAGAAGGCATAATTGTGGTTCTCATGAGTTGCTCAGGTGAGCTTGATGTACAGATATATTAAACACACACACTTTATGCCCTTAAGTTTCAAGAGAACCCAAGATCAATTGCCTCTGTTGTTGACAGCAACGAAGGAGGAGCTCCTAAGCCAGGGGTGGGCAAACTTTTTGGCCCAAGGGTCACATCTGGGAATGGAAATTGTATGCCGGGCCATGAATGCTCACGAAATTGGGGGTTGGGGTGCGGGAGGGGGTGAGGGCTCCAGCTCTGGGATGGGGCAGGGGGATTGGGGGTGCAGGAGGATATTCCAGGCTGTGACCGAGGGGTTTGGATGGCGGGAGGGGGGAATCAGGGCTGGGGCATGTGAGGGGTCAGGGGTGCAGGCTCCAGGCAGCACTTACCTCAAGCAGCTCCCAGAAGAAGCGGCATGTCCCCCCTCTGGCTCCTACGCAGAGGGGCAACCAGGGGCCTCTGCATGCTGCACCCACCCCAAGCGCTTCCCCTGCAGCTCCCATTGGCCGCGGTTCTAGGCCAATGGGAGCTGTGGGGGCGGCGGCAGTGTGTGGAGCCCCCTGGTTGTCCCTATGCATAGGAGCTGGAGGGGGTACATGCAGGGCCGGCGAAACCCATTAGGCGACCTAGGCGGTCGCCTAGGATGCTACAATTTGTGGGGCGGCGACCGCGGCGGCATTTCAGGGCGGGACCTTCTGCCGCCTAGGGCGGCAGAAAAGCTGACGACATTCCTGGGGACATGCCGCTGTTTCCGGGAGCCACGCGGAGCCATGGCACGCACAGAGTGGGGCAAACCCCCGACCCCGCTCCCTGGATGGGGTGCTGGAGCAGGGCAAGCCCCAGATCCTGCTCCCCGGTGGGAACTCAAGGGCTGGATTAAAATGTCTGAAGGGCTGGATGCAGCCCCTGGGCTGTAGTTTGCCCACCCCTGTCCTAAGCCAATAAAACGAGTAAACTGTTTCAGAAGAAATGAGAGATAGAAATAATACACTTCGGGGAAAATGGTAAATTATATACATAAACATGCAATCAGATTGCACAAATTTTCTGCCTTTCATAAGACCACGCATATAAGGGAAAGTAATGTAGCTAACTAGAACCAACCTGTGAACTACTTCACAACAATGTACAGGTATCAGCCAATCAGATATCACTTTTTATTGACCTAATTTCAATAAATAAGGGTTTTAATTAAAATAAATCTCATTGCACAAAAGCAGAAATAGGCCAGTTAACTGCAGGTGCATTCCAAATGCCAATAACTTGAAAGGGAAAACATCGCTTCTGTGAGATTTCTATAGGAACAAGTCAGTCACAGCTAGTGTCCTCAGTCTGACAGCTATGAAAACCAATGGAAATGGACATAATATATTTAGGAATCCTTTAATGTTGTGTTAACTTAAAGCAGCATTAGTCCCTAATTAGTGTCAGACTCTACTCCATGAGCACTGAAAGAAGCCAGTAGTGATTACTTCTAATTCATTAGCTAGCCAGATGAACATTTACCAGAAAACAGCTCACATATTAAATAATAATAATAAAAAAAGTAATGACACCTTAAAATTGAGAAACTAGGCATTCAAGCGTGAAGAAACTCCAAAAGCTAAGCTCACTCCCACAACAATAAATCTGCCACTTGTCCTTATACGCTCTGCAGCCCATGGGACAGAAATTCCACACAAGATGCTTCAGTTTCTACTGGCACCAATGCTGAGTTCTATGACCAACTGGAAATGTTGTGACAACAGGATTGAGCAACACAAAGCTGCATTAACAGAATCAGGGTCTTTTATTTATTTATGTTTTTTTTATTATGGTAGTGCCATAGCGTGCTAGAATCTATCAACACATACGGACTTCCATAGGAACTAAGGACTACCACAAACTTCACTATCTTCTGCCTTAAGTGCAAGACACATTTCTTTGACTTTGCCTTCTCTAACAAACATATAGCAACCTGTGTGTATTATAAATTAAATTTCAAAACAAAATAATGTGTAAATCCCTTCCCCAGCCCTGGGAAAGGATGAGAAAACAAAGGCATAACAGATGTTAATCATGCTGCTTAATGCATCATTAGAAGGTATTCATATACTATAGTGATGACCATGGTATAAGAATCTATATAGACTAGAATAGACTTGATATCAATATGGCGTTATTAATTTACTTTCATAAGAGCCTGTTTTTGAATGCGTTTCCCAGACTGCTGCCCAACTTGCAGTTTGTCACAAGATCCACCACTGGTATGCCACAAAAAATCAGAGAGCCTCGCTGCAGAATGTAGGGTGGTATCATACTCTCTCTCTTTCCTGCTTCTAAGAAAGGATGTGGGTGAACTACCAATTCCACTTTTCACTAATGAGTGGGGTGTGGGAGCAGGAAAGCAGCAGTGGCCAGGAAGGGGACTGCAGGTTGGGGAAGCTGTTGTGTGCAAAGGCGACTGAGCATTGGAGGAGGGTAGAAAGCAGCAGTGGACACGAGTGAGATGGCATCAGGTCATGGACATAAGCAAGTGAGTGCAATGCTGCAGCAAGCAGAGTGGGAAAGAATCAGGGATTTTTAAGTTACAGGGAATCGAGTCTGTGGAATCTTGTTCCAGCTTCTTACCTTAATCGTGTTGGGGGGCACCCCACCCTGCAGTGTTCTAGACAGAGAAGTCTGCATAGAGGCCTTTTTTTTCCTCCAGGCTCTGGCTTAGCACATAGCTGGAGCATGTCCATTGAAAACAGAACTCTCCACTGTAGAAGAGAAAGAGGCAGGCAGAAAATAACTGCACTGAGCATGCTCCAACTAGGTGCTAAAGAAAGGACAATATAACAACCGAATTTCCACAAAAATCATAATTTTTATGGCCAGTAGGGAGATTATTCCTGTAGCAGCTGCCCCAGAAAAAAAACCCTGTGGCCAACTCTACAACTGTGGCTTCATGGTTTCATAGAGCTGTGGTATACATTGTTAACAAACAATACATTAATGAAAGTGTACAATACTACATATGTACTGCATGCCCAAGTTAACATTGTGGAAACAAACTTAATTTTTGGAATATCCTAAATTCCAGGTCCTTGATTTGTCAAGCATAATCCAAATGTAAAACTCCCTCGAAAAATCTACTGATCATTTCCCTGTTTTTAAAGTGCAAAAAGTCTGAGTTGTTCAGCTCCTGGTGATTATTTGGTCTACAGGCTTGTGGAATCTATAACTTGGAGCTATTCAGCTTTATTCCTCCTGACCACTACCATTCTTAACTAGCTCCCCAAGCCAAATAAACTGCTTAAACTATTGCAGAGTGGCATAATCTTTGAGGCTGGAATTTTCAAAAAAGCTGATGGGAGTTCAGTGCCCAAATCTCATTGAAACTCCCTTACTCTCGTTTGAAAAACTTAGCTTCAAGCCATTGTAATATCAAAGAGCGGTTTAAGCGGTTTAAAGACTTAGAATGTCTTAAATTGCTTCAGATGCAGTAAAAAACATGGTGCTCTCTTGTACATAATCAAAAGGAGCCACTGCTGACAACAATAATTGATCCTCCCTGACCTATAGTCAGTTAGGCCTGAAAATGGTTTGGCCCCCAGTGTAGGGCAGTTAGGCCAAACCACTGAAATGTTCATTACAGAAAGTGTGCTAGACCCAAAGTGAATCATGCCCATAAGAAGAAGTTAGGAACACCAGTCACTGTTATTTCTCCATAAACTAGTATGGTTCTGGTGTCTCAGGGACAACTGTTATTTTACCTCTACTTTCCAGCAAGAAATCCCACCTGTTGTATACTTGTTTCATATTAAGTGGTGTTTAGCAGCTCAACACATGAGCAAAGCTGGAAGCTTTTCAGGCTGTATTAATCCCATATTAAATTACTATAAAAATATCTGGTAAATAATATAAAACTTACAGCTCTTTAAAAATTCGCTGTGAAAGTCTCCTGCCTCTCTAGAGCATTTAAATCCTGAAGGGCATTTCCTCAGCCTCAAACTATATCAGCAGAAAGGCAAGATAAGGAAGCTACTAGTTCTAATACCTTTTTATATAGCAAGAGTTTATATAATGTCTGTGATTTTATATATATTTTTAACATAGCTTCAAGGCCAAGGTGAATGCTTACTTTCTGGGTGGAACGGGTATCTTGTTGTCCCTCCTCTGCTGTGCATTGTTCTGTCTTCTGCGACACAGCTGAACATATTTCAAAATCTGTATGGCCCAAATCCTGCAAATACTGGTAAAGTGGAGAATTCTGAAAGAGAATTGAAAAAGAAAGACCAAATGGCCTCTTTAACACTTCTCAGAAAGAAAAGCCATGATTACATATCCACAAATACGGTCAAGCCACACAATTGCCTGCAAAGTACAGTGGAGTCGCATCTTATGCGGGGGTGAGGTTCTAAAGTCAGCGTGTAAGGAAAAAAATCGTGTATAGTCAAAATTACCCTTGAAAATCCCTTAAATCGCCCATAAAATACAGTATACTGTACATGGTTGTGTGTATACAACCCTGTACAGCAATATGTATAAATGTATAATGTATACAGTAATGTACAGTATATAATAAAGAGTACATATGCAAAATATAATTTTACAGTACTGTATTTTTAATTACAGGGTGTCGTCAGGGCTTGATGTCGACCCAGGAGACAGAGAGCAAGTCGTAGACAAAGTAGTTGGCTCTGGTTCAGCTCGAGAAGTTGATTGCGTAGGCTCATCTGCTGCTGGTTGTTTTTCCTTGGTGATCGGCAACTTTCGCTGTTGTGTCTTGAGCTGCTCCAATATTTCTTGATACAGTCTCAAATCGTCCGTAATACTATGTGTGATTTTGAGGCTTCGTTCTGTAGAGGGATCGTATTCAGAAATTAAATCATTCAAGTGTTTCGCTGCTTGGAACACTTCAGCAAATTTATGAAGATTCCAACTTGCTGGCTCTTCCTGTTCGTCGTCATCATCTTCGTCTTCTGTAGACAATTTTATCAGTTCCTCTAATTCTTTGTTAGTCAATGTTTATCTATGGCTCTCAATTAATTCTTGAAGAATTTCTCTCTCTCGAATCTTGATGGCATGGATGCTAGATTCGTTGCAGCCATATTTACACGCCATGTTGGAGACCGAGAGACCGTCTCTCAATCAGTTCAACACAGCCAGCGTTTTCCTCCAGCGTTGGAACAGATCGCTGTTTCTTCGATTGAGCACCAGATGAAGTAGTTGGCTTGAGTTTAGGAGCCATGTGGTACAAAAAATACGTATCTTTAAACACTAGAATCAAACTCAGCACGGCTAGATGCTCACACTATGAGAGCCACGCGGGAACTGAGACCGACTGAGGGACAGCAGATTCACGTCTCCCATCTCACGCTCACTCCGGGGCATACGCTCATTGGGTGGAATCGCCTGCACTATTTACAGGTATCTTGTTTTTCTTTTTTTTGCCCAGCACGAATAGTTGGGCATCGCGCAAGTTAAACGCACGTATGATGCGACTTGCCTGTACAGAACAGGAAGAAAGCTCAGTTTTCAGAATCAGGGTCACTGAGTACATCAGGAGTATAGGAAGGTGGGGGACAGGGCAGGAAACATCCGGCAAAACAAGTGTTAACAGCATAAAAACAAAATTCTACTGTACACACATAGTACTATTTGCCAATCCACATATTTTAACATTCACACAAACATAAAAATGCCTGTTTTCCAACACTCTCAAAGATATTACACCAAAGAGCTATGGCGAGGTCTCAAAATGCTAATATTTAGATACTTTAAACACATTTATGCCACAGAATGGAATATCAAACAAACTACAGGTGTCAAAAATAAGTTAATGACAAGGCATCACAAAATGAGCTTTTTAAAAAAAATACTGTTTATTCGTTGACTTACTTGATAATTCATAAAATTAATTTATTTGCACTGTTTCCCAGACATCACTGCAAATTAATGAGGTTCTATCCTATAAGTGTACATTTGTATATATGCAGCAGATGGATAAGATTTAACAGGAGACTGTGCACAATCTATAGTATGACTCTCAAGGCAGAAGGGATCTACAGTACTAAATGCTTATTCCTGCTTAGTGGAAAGAAAAAAACTAAGTAGGTTTCCAGAATAATACATGATCACAGAAAAAGAGATGGAAAAGTTCTGCGAGCTCATCTAGTCCATCACTTGCCAAAGCAATACGTTACCATACTCATGCAAATGAATCACAATGTCAAATAACTTCTGTTTTACTATTTCAAGCAAAATGAAACATATAACAAAATTAAATCAAAATTTGTTTCTCTTTCAGTAACCTTTTCCTTGTCCCACTTGCCCCTAAAGAAATGGGTGATGGATAGAGCTGTGTAATGGCGGTGTGAGACTCTGGTAGCGATTGAGTTTGTGGTTGATTAATTTCTACTACATTTATGTTTTCACTTGGTTATCTGATTTGATCTGGGGCAACTGATTGGTTTGTTTATTTGTGCATTTTAAAAAGAATGTCAAGGGTGCCCAAACTGCATGGATGCTCTTTTATTGTAGCTTATAAGGAACTGAATAATTTATAATTTTCACCCTTTCCATCTGAAACAAACCTCCAACAAATCATGGTCTAAACATCAGACTAAACCTATGAATAGAGCCCTGCAAATCCGCGGATATCCGCTTCATATCCACGGATATCTCTACTCACTGGTGGCACCTGGCCCACAGTTTCCGGCTCAGGTAGCTCCAGGGTGCAGCATGCTTAGGGACGGTGGCCAGCAGCCAGTGGGTCTGGGCAGCAGGCCGGAGATGGGGCTGTCCAGCACCCGCTTGCCACGCCGCTTCCTGTCCAGCAGCTTGGGGCCCTTGGGCAGCGCCAGTATCCCCAGCTTGGCAGCACTGGTCACACTCCCAGCCCCAGGGATTCCAGCGAGTGCGGCCCCAGCGCCCGATCCCTCTGCCCCGTTGCAATGCAGCATGCACTGCTGCTGCCGTCACTCGCAAGCCCCTGGAAGCAGCATGCAACGGAGCTTCTCTCCAGCCCCCACCCCTTCTCAAGACCCCGCACCTGCACTGCCCTCCTCCTCAAGACCCCACTCTTGTGCCACCTCTTACCCCCAGTCTCCGCCCTCACACTGCCTCTTCCCTGCAAGACCCCACGCCCTACGCTCACTCATCTGCACCCTCTCCCCTCCCCATTGCTAGCCCATGTGAGACGGCTTGCTGCTGCGGGTGTGGATGCAGACACACATAAAAGCCAGCTAGTGGATCGGATGCACGTTGATTCTGGCAGATGCGGATCAGATGCGAATCCACACTTTTGTATCCTCGCAGGGCTCTACCTATGAAGTAGGTACGTATTATTTTAGAAAAGTGGGAAACTGAGGGAAAGACAGGCTAAGTTCTAGGTCACAGGAGTCTGTGGCAGAACCAAGAATACGTCTCAGATCAGTTTTTAATTGTGTGCTTTAACTGTAAAGCTGTCCTTCCCTTTTTAAAGGTACTAGTGCTTCTCGCAACAGACAACCACAATTTTTGTTTTAAAAAGCCTGGGTTTTTAAAGATATGTCACTTTAAGAAATAAAGATCCTGTTTCCATGAAAAATTCCTAGCAATAATGACTACTAGAAAAAAGTATAGAGTTATAGGAGTAGAATATTTTACACACACTTTTTAATATCTTCAATTTAAAATATAATTTCCTTCCTTTCATCTGTACCATAAAACTAGAATAGCTTAATAATTGTTATTTATTTGTTACAATTCACTGTATATCGATTAAAGTTGACACTTTCCGTACCAAATAAGTTCCTGTATAAATAGCAACAAACAACTGATAAGCATTTTGTTCACTTACTGTTACTATAAGATAATTAGCTGAAGAAAAAGAATAGCCACCTGTGAGATTGTGAAGTTGTGGATATTTTAACTTTTTCCAGTCCCTCTTTTGAAGAAAGTGCTGAAGATTGTCCTTTCTCAAAAGTCATAACTTTGGAAGACCCTACAGTTGGCTAATGTCAACCTCCCTTGCATTTATAGTGGTCTAGCCAAGAAAGAAAAAAAAAGAAGCATTTCTTCAGATATCCATATGGTGCAGAATACAGCAATCATAAGAATGGCCATACTGGGTCAGACCAATGGTACATCTAGCCTAGTATCCTGTCTTCTGACAGTGGTCAATGTTAGATGCTTCAGAGGCAATCAATTGATCCATCCTCTGTCATCCAGTCCCATCATCTGGCAGTGAGAAGCTAGGGACACTTAGGCTAGGTCTACACTACCCGCCTGAATCGGCGGATAGAAATCGACTTCTCAGTGACAATCGATCCCCGAATCGACGTTCTTACTCCACCAGCGGAGGTGGGAGTAAGCGCCGTCGACGGGAAGCCGCAGAGGTCGATTTTGCCGCCGTCCCTACAGCGGGGTAAGTCGGCTGCGATACGTCGAATTCAGCTACGCTATTCACGTAGCTGAATTTGCGTATCTTAAATCGACGCCCCCCTGTAGTGAAGACCTGCCCTTAGAGCATGGGCTTTCATCCCTGACCATCTTGGCTAATAGCCGTTGATGGACCTATCTTCATAGAGTTTATCTAATTAATTTTTTAACCCAGTTATACATTTGGCCTTCACAACATCCCTTGGCAACGAGTTCCATAGCTTGACTGTGCGTTGTGTGAAGAAGTACTTCCTGCTGCCTATTAATTTAATTGGGTGACCCCTAGTTCTTGTGTTATGTGAAGGGGTAAATAACACTTCCTTATTCACTTTCTCCTCATCATTCGTGTTTTATAGATCTCTATCATATCCCCCCTTAATCATCTCTATTCCAAGGTGAACAGTCCCCATCTTTTTCATCTCTCCTCAGATGGAAGCTGCTCCACACCCTTAATTATTTTTGTTCCCCTTCTCCGTACCTTTTCCAAATGTAATATATCTTTTTTGAGATGGGGGCGACCAGAGCTGCACATACTGCTCAAGGGGTGGTCATATCATGGATTTATAGAGTAGCATTATGATATTTTTTGTTTCATTATCTATCCCTTTCCTAATGATTCCTAACACTGTTAGCTTTTTTGACTGCTGCGACACATTGAGCGGATGTTTTCAGAGAACCGTCCACAATGACTCCAAAATCTCTTTGTTGAATTTTAACAGCTAATTTAGATCCCATCATTTTGTATGTATAGTTGGGATTACGTTTTCCAATACGCATTACTTTTCATTTATCAACATTGAATTTCATCTGCCATTTTGTTGCCCAGTCACCCAAATCTTAAATCCT